TCTTTAAGTCCAGTCCTTCCTTCCACCCCTTCCCCCCGCACCCCGTGATGGTAGATGCTCACCTCATACTTCAACTGTTGCCCCACTCACTGATACACAATTCTTTGCACTACTTAAAAACTAGCAAACCTAATGTTGTAAGCTGTTGCGTGAGTGTTAGATGGCTGGTAAATCAATATCCATCACTATGTACTACCTTCTTCCCTTTTCAGTTGCTAAATAGCTAGAGAATGAAAAATGTGACTGCTCCCCTTGTGTTTCCAACATGCGTTATCATCCGCAGTGCCTCATTCAGTCATGCACTAATTAAAAGAATTGCATGAGCCAGTCCCTGCAGCTATCGTACAGTTCATACATTGGTGGAACTTGTTTCGGGTGTTTTTGGGTGGGGCTACTTTTCCTGCGCTTCCCTTAATTTCACATAGTCTGATATAATTTCAGGTTTGCCCATAATTCAGTTACTGTTCTATTGTTCGTAACTATTTATGATAATTGTCTGTCTTTAGTTGACTGTATGGAGAGAAATGTGTTTATATTTAATGACATTTCATGAATTCGTCTATGGAACCTGCTTCCTTATTTCTTACGAGAAATTCGATAAATATAAAGGATGAACCGTAATCGGTACGTCTTGGGTCCTCGAACTCGACTTTTTAAGGGGAAAAGGGAAAGTAAGTCTCCGTAGGACTATCTAGAAATGCTGAGACCAATACCAGAACTAATAAAAGCTCGATATAATGGGCGATAAGAACTACTAAATGGTAAGCGATTTGAATAAACTGCTAACATGAGATGAAGATGTTTGTTGTTTTATATTTTCATTGATTTCGAAGCATTTACGGCATCCAGGGCCCCAAAAGGCGAGAAAGGTAACGGATTGATATTGACAATAAGCTCAGAGGTAATGGTGAACACAGGAAAGTCTCGATTTTACCTCTGTTTACTTAAACTGTACTAACAGGTGCCTTTCTCGCATGCTTTTAGTGATTAGGGATTATCGATCTCATGTGTTCAGTAAACACAAACTCGCCTTAATTGTATCTGTGGTAAACGAGTGTCACAAAACAGATACCAGTCCCCGGGGGAGAAAAACGGAACACATGAGATCGAGGCTAAATGCGCCAGCTGGTCAAGATGGCGCAATCGCTTGGCATCCAGAGCAATACCCTCGGAATCTCCCGCAGGACTCAAATAGTAAGAGTCCTACGTCGAACGCAATAAAATGCCTTTCATATAAGTAGATTTCATTGTATTTTAAAGGTATGAAGTTTTGGAAAGACGTCGCTATATGTCGATGTCAGTGCGTTCCAGACCATCATATCCAGGATTCAGTTGAGCCATGCACATAGCACATGGCACTAAAGTGCATGGATTCATTCCGAATAGTATAACTGCTAATCAGTCTATATTGTTAAGCAGATTTTTTCAAGAACAATATCTACTTATTTTCTTACTGATGTCAAGTGTAAAATTTGCTGGTGCTTCGAGGCATGTGTTACGTAATCACCCAAAGTTCATACAAACATCGTCACTATGGCACCAAACTGCATTTTACTGTTTTATTTTACCTCACATGATTACGTAACACCTTAATGTGAAATAGTTTGCTTTAAGACGGAAACAATGAAACCTGGTGTTGATCATCTGATACAAATATTTCCTTTTTCAGTGCATAATGTCTTTTCAGTCAATTCTCCTCTTTATAAAGGGGACCTTTCTGTTGCTAAATGTAGTCATCGAAGCTACTTGCCGCTACTACGCCGCTCGAGGAATTAAGTGTAAGATAAGTCGTGATGAGTTTTCCAGGGTAGATTAAATTGAAGAAGAAACCAAAGACAACAATTGGCAACCACATGTAGGAGCAACGGGACAAATGACTTTGTAGCTACTTATTGTACAGGAGAAAAAATTGCGATGTCAACAATATTGTTACGAGGGATTGATTTTCATTACTGGTTTCATTGGTCTTTCAATAATATTTTAATGAACAGTATAGCAAGACTTCAGAGTCACGTTTACGGCAATTGTAGATTCAAAATAGAAAAGGAGCAGATAAAAACTGTCCCAAACAACTCTTATTTTGTAAAAGTCATGTAAGAGTAAAACTTGGTCGCGTGGTACAAATTCACGTTTGCCGTTTGCAATGAAACATGGTAAGAGTAAATCTCTCTAATATCATCTCAGTGCCGGCATTTTTAAAGCTAGCTATTGGCAACATTGACAGTTTATTAAAAATAGCAACAATTGCCTATTTTTCGTTAGTTAAAGTTAAAAACAAGAACGACAGCAAATTTATGAAACAGTCTCTCGTCTCAAATGCAGCTACTGTCGCGTGATTTATCATCAATTCTACCACGAGCGCTACCTGAACCTGTCGTACGAGTTACATTCCCAGGTCATAACATCGTTTATATACAGACAAACAAACAAACAAACTTTTAAAATGATATTGTACCGAGGCAACAATGTTGCATTCGTTCTTTCCTTCATTTTTATTCTCCTATTATAGAATTGAAAATGAGCATCGTTAGGCTGTTTACCCTTCTGTTTTTCGTTCTGCTGATAACTCAGTCAATTTTTGGGTCTCCCTTCAAGCAAGACAATCATGTCGAAAGGACTCCTGGATCGTCCTCTAAACGCACTGAGGTAAAATAGTTCTCTTTGAAATAAGATAGTCAATTGGCGTCTTGTGTTTAAGACGAACATGAAAGTTTCTCTTAAGGGTGGCGTGATATCTACGAAAATGCAACTCAATGTTCTAATGGAATCTGGGTTGTTTCACTGAAACAAAATGAACCCTGATCTCGGACAATATAAAGCCGACTAACCCCCCCTCCAGTTCAGAATTCTAATCTCAAAACTCGCTTTCCCTTCTCTCCAAAACACCGATTACCCTTGTGAGTGTATAGTGCTGCGAGTAGATACTAGGTAGTTTTAGACCTTAACGTTTGAATGTATAATAAACATTTTTATAATTTTAAGCTGTAAATTTATTGAGTTCTTTGCGATGTGTGTCCCTCAATGATCAATTTTCAGTTTGGCGAAGTGTAAACTGAATGAATACACAGCCATCACGCAATTCTTGGTGATTTCGCTAAGGCTCGCAGCGATAATTTTAGCCGGCTTCCGATTTCATCTCTGTGCCTCAAATGTATTGAAATACACAGAGGAAAAATTGGTGACCAAAAAAAAAAATACTTATTCCAGTTTGTATTCAGTGGAATGACCTTTTCTTCACAAATACAGGGGCGACAGGGCTCGTCCTCGATCTTTACTCGTAAAGAAGGCGAAGAGAAAAACAAGCGAAAAGGTAATTGCATCAGTTGTTTAGAAGTTGCGTACCATAACCTTTGAAAACAAAAGGGAGAAACAAAAAGAAGCTGAAACGTAAGGCTGCACAGGCTAGCTGTTTGGTTTCTGCAAAAACGAAAACATTCATTAGCCGCCTGTTTATTTTAAACTTGGTTTGTTTTAATACCACTAAGTGTGCAACTATAAATTTTATCTTGCTGTGTTCTTTAAAATTTTAGCTGACGCTGGTGCTGTCATCAGCGGTGCTCAACTTGGCTTGAGCATTCTCGCAACAATTTTAAACACCCTTGGTAGCATAAGCCGCAAGGTCGCCATTGGTGTTGATAACGAAAGTGGATATAAATGGAGAGCAGTCAACATATATTTTTATTCAGGGACGTCAGATCGTGTTTTGCCTCGTGATGTTTCTTCAGGTAAAATTAATATTAATAACATAAAAGTTTAAAATCCTTTCTTTTAGTAATGACACTGAGTCCCGTATGCAGGATGGTGTCATTAGCTTGTTTGTTTTGTTTTCCCAACGTTCTTCGGGGACTGATTTGTCTTTTATATAATTTATGCATACATCCTGACACGTGGGTGCACGTGCAAAAGACGACATTGAAAGAAACAGTTCTCTGTGGTACCATCACTTCAATGGTCTGAAATGGGAAAACAAACCATACAAGCTAAAAAGGTCTGATCTATTACTATAGAATCCATTTTGGTTTTCTTGTCATATTTAATTTTTCTAGCCAATCTCTGCGAGGAGTTTAACCTGCAATCGGGGGGTCCTTCTTCCCTTTTTGTTTTGGGGGCCTGATCACAGGTTATGCGAGGTTTGAAAAATAAAAGCCCTTGTTTGTCCAAGAAAGCAAAACCCTAGTGATTCTGGTAGTAGTAGTAGTTAAATGAGCTCATCGTGCAAAGGGCCTATTACTGTAGGAAACCAAGGGCGAACTCAGCGACCACTTACCCTAAAGAGTAAAGAAACTGTATTAGACGATTTGCCCCTTCTTGAAAGTTTGCTGACAACAGATTTATGTTTTGCTTTGTCAGAACGACAAAATGACTTCAAGGGTTGAAAGAGCTTCTTAAACCAACCAAAAGTAGTATTCTGAGTGTGTGATGTTCAGAATGAGCTTCCCTTTGCGTGTGATTTGGGGAAAAGATAAGCAATCACTAACCTGACACAAGTAAAATTTCTGGGTGGCAATAAAGGAGGACATTTTAATGATCTGACACATTCTTTGTAAATTTTTTTGGGGTACATGCCTCTATTCCGTGATGCTTGTTTGCCATGGATTATTGTGACGAATGATCCTGTTTATGATTTTTGTTTAAATTGCTTATTTGTTTGCTTATTTCTAGGCACAACTTTGCTTTACGGCGCACGAAAAACTGCAGGGCCCGTTGCGAGAGGCGCAGTAGGAGTATTAACATACTACATCTCACACATCGATAAAACACTTGCTGTTATGTATTCCGTTCCATTTGACTACAATTGGTACAGCAATTGGTTTGATGTTTGGCTTTACAGTGGTAAAAGACGCGCCAACTACAATCTTTGTTACCAGATGTATTACGATATTCCCTTCGAAGGAGATAACTACTGGCACGAGAGAAATTTGGGATCGAGACTCCGAGCAAGGGGGGCCATGTCTAACTCCGGTCAAGCCACCATCGAAATTCACATACTGAAGCAGTAAATAGTCTCTTGTCATTGGTTAACCTTATATGTAAAGTTTCATTCTAAAAAAGATTTCAGTTCCTTTGCAAAAATTTAAATGGGGCAACCAATGTGATGAAACATTTTAAACTAAAAGGTGTTTTCCTGATTTCTATCCATCATCATCAATTTGAGAATACTTTTGTGACTTTAAAAGCCGAAAAGGACTAAAGCTGAGCAAGTAAAGGAGCAACTACTAAATATAATCAGTGATTCACAGTGATTGTGATATAAGATTATGAGGACGGTATTTTCAAAAGTTACGATTTTGAATTGTCTGTTTGATGAAACTCCCACCAGCCATATATGTAAATCAACCTAATACCTGTAAAAGACAAGTGGATAATAGTCTACTATTACTTGATTAATGCACACGTTCACTTCATCCAAAAAAAATTAATAAAGTGTGGCATAAAAATTCTGATGTCAGTATTATTGTTGACTAGATATTAAAGGATGCGAAATGGGGAGACTGGGAAAGAGTGAAACGTTGCCAGTGCTATCGAGCTAGTGAGATCTAGTGACCTTTTATTGGCATGTTTATACAAACAAATGTGCCAATTAAAAAGTAACAATTCACTTACAATCTCGAATGCTAATCAGGTCGAGTTAATTTTTTTTTCATATGAAAGGTGACAAGAGGGGGCTTTCTAAAGCAGACACCAGTCTTCAATTCATTAACAATTCTAATAGGTCGAGGCTAGATGGAATCCCTCAGAAGGAGGTGATCGAAGAGGACTAGAAACGATAGTTGCTTCGGCAATCTTCGGCTCGTGAGACAAGATGGCGCATCTCGCGATCAACTTTCGTCGTCGGACTAACAATTTCTAACAGAATTTAAGAACAAAGAACTTCGAACGGGAAGGGAAATGTTATTGAAATTATTTTAAACTCTTCTGTTCCTTAAACGTAAGGAATCTTTCTACACTAAGAATATAAGGGGTCTGTACAGCCCCCGAAATGATCCCCAACCCTGAAATGATCCCTATTTCTCTTCACGTCACGGAATTATTACAAATCTGTTGCAGCTTTTACGTTCTTAAATCGCGTTTAACATTTCGCGACAAATTGAAAACGTTACAGTCAAGAACAGTATTTTTCCTCTTCCCTTCCCATGAGACCCCGCGCGCACCTCAACCTAATCCCCAATCGTCTCTCATCCCAAAAAACACTTAAATAGCGACTGGGTACGAGTCTGAGTCAAGAAGACTTTAGCAGCGACTGATCAAACAAAGTGAAGTAGAGTTTAGTTGCGAAATTTCGACTGGCCAATACCAGTCTTCATCAGGTTCATTGAGATATCACGAATTCACAGAAATATATATAATAATGACCGGAAATTACATAATATGACGTGGTATGGTGTGGCTACTTTAAAAGACAAGATAACAAAAAAATAAAAGATATACTATATATAGTTAGCTCATCACGTTTATTGATGCCCAGAGGCTCAATTGTCTTAGCCTTATGGATAAGGTGGGCTTCACGTGCTTTCCTGAAAGAATCACGCCCGTTTTTAAGTTTTTCAATAGGAATCAAAAGCATATGATTGTCGTAATGGTTACTGGTTAGAAAGTGTTCTGAAAGTGTAGTATGGATGTAATTACCAGTAGGGTTGAGTATAGGTCGTCTGCGTTCATTAAAACGGTCTTTGAAGCAACCTTTAGTTTCTCCAATATATTGTACATTACACAGGCGACATTGAATCAAATAGATAACATTAAAAGTTTCACAAGTGATATGAGATTTGATGTGGTGGGTCTCACCTGTAGAATGAAAAGTGTAATCGCGGCTACGGCAAAACCTTTCTTAGCGCTTTTGTCATCTAATAGCCTTTATGTATACTTTTGCATCTTCAACATCATTTTAAGATTTTAAAAAGTGTTAAAATACCATTTTTAAAATTCAATATCCTTGGCATGCAGTTTTAACATCATTTTTAGAATTTAACATCTATGCAGTTTTCTCTATAACCCGGGCTATAATCACCTAAGAAATAATTTTAAAAAATGTTATGTTTCTTGATATTATCAGTTGCAGTTCATGGTGTTCCTAAAAATATACAAGACTTTGTGTATTTTTTGATAACAATATTTTCCGGCGTTTAATCCAGTTCAAAGTGTAATCCCAAATTAATGTCATGTGGGCGAGTGAAGATTATTAGTGAAGCTTAAGTTATAATGTTGTGCATTTTGCACGATCCATAGTTCTAGGATATCATTCCATTCCTAAAATTAAATGGGGATCATTTCGGAGTCGACGTGAAGAGAAATGGGGATCATTTCGGAGTCAATATCATTTCGGGGTCGATTTGGGGATCATTTGGGGGTCGGGATCATTTCGGGGGCTGTACAGATCAAAACCTCAGAATTCTGAAAGGAATCCGTCAGAAGGAGGTGTTTATTTTTAACTTGTAAATGGAATCCCTCAAAAGGAGTTCGGCATCTCTCAGAAGGAGGTACGCTTTATTTATGTACAACTTATAAATTAATGGAATCCCTCAAAAAAAAATTTTGACATCTCTCAGAAAGAGGTACACCGTATTTATGTACACCTTGTAAATAGAATCCCTCAAAAGGAGTTTGCCATCTCTCAAAAGGAGGTACTCTGTATTTATGTTTTACTTGTAAATAGAATCCCTCAAAAGAAGTTTGACATCAGAATGATGTACACTTTATATATCTATAACTTTTAAATTAATGGAATCCCTCAGAAGGAGGTACAGTGTATTTATGTTTCACTTGTAAATAGAATTTCCTTAAAAGGAGTTTGACATCTCTTAGAAGGAGGTACACTTTATATATGTATAACTTGTAAATTAATGGAATCCCTAAAAAGGAGTTAAGTTTTTTTTAGTATAGGCAGCTCCTGATATAGGTAAATTTCCATTCTAAGATAATCGGATATGTAGATGTTATGTTAACAATGTGTTCTACACACTGTATTTGTTTCATATGAATTCAAGCAATGCAAGATCAGCTTAGATTGACCAGATTTAATTCTATTACAAATTACATCTTTTCGCTTTAAAAAGCTTTTTACAGCGTTGTATTTGCTTTTGTTTGTCACCATTTTTGAAAAATATACAAGAAGTTGAACAGTGAAACGTTGACCTTTTTATCTCACTACTTCCGGGTGAATTGCAGTTGAAAACAGTGCTAAGTAGATGAATCGTGTTAGCCTAGTGTCACGCGAACGCAACAAGGGTTTAAAGTGATACGGGACGCTTAATAGCTGAACAGTTCAGGGATAAATTCTGGCCTGGCGACGTTGAGTACAGTATGTGGTCCTTGGTCCGGACGAAAAAGAGGTAAATGGGTATTTCTTATCTTAGAAGAGGAGTAATGAGCTGACATTTGTCCTGTAAGTTGCCGTAACATTTTACTAACTTGTGAAAAGCCGACAGCTTCTGAGCTTTGCCGAAAATCTTGCATCACGGAAAATGACCGCTCCGTTTGAAGGCCCCTTGTTCGGCCACTTTGGCCAGGGGTAAGCCGGCATGCAACCTGTGCGCAAAAAGAAACGTTCAAAGCACCAACTGATCTAAACTGCTGTATATTTTCTTTCGGCATCATTTTAACTTCGAAACCAAAATGAGACTTCTGTGTAAAGAGCTTAAAGTTTGGTCTCATGAAGAATTATTAGCTATTTTCGCTTCTTTCATGTATACGCGCATACGTGTTTGCTATTATGAGCCCGCGAAATAATAAATTGGCGCCATCTTTGAATTTCTTTGGTGTGGGTTTGTATTGTTGTGACGTTTTTCAAAGTCGCAGAAACAGTTTAAAATGTCAAAATCAGGGCAAAAACAAAGTCAAACTAAAGGGAGATCCAACCTTTTGCCTCTTGACACCGGTAGCGAAAGAAATAACCTGATAATGTTCTGCCGCCTACTGGAATAATCAGCTTGAAGAATTAACAAAGCTAAATTTACTTGAAAACAAGCAATTAGGGTAGAAATTAGCCCAGGTATAAAAGACAAAAAAGGGAAGCGCCCGTCCGCCATTTTGAATAAGTTTCTAATATTGCGCGGAGTGGATTAGAGCCGATAATGTGGGGGGTGCTCAGCGTTTTTGAAAAGTTCCTTTTTCGTCCGTCCACACATACACGTGAAAACAGCGTTTTCTTAAAGTTCAACTCTGGAGAGCGTTTTCGAAAAGTTCCGTTTTCATTGATTGTTTTCATCGGATACGTGTGGACGGAAACCATATCCGTAAAGAAAAAGTCGCGTTTTCAAATCAAAACGGATCCGTGTGGACAGGTCCTAGTCGTGTAGCAACGGCAAAGAAATCTGACCGAAAATTGCATGCGTCATCATACACGTGCAGAGCAGGTTAAGGTTAGGGTAGAGTAATGTTTTGCTTGTTAAAGCCCATTGCTTTAATTTTCTACTTTGCTAAAGCTTCCTAATGAAACCAATTGGACGGATATAATAAATCTTCCTTTTTTGGGCCTTTTATATCATTTCTTAATCATTAAAGTGCAGTGCTACCGGGAAAATCTCGGGCAATCATATTTAATTTGAACGCTGCATGCGGTTTTTATTATTTATTCCACTCATTAAAAGTGCTTTACTGAAAAATTGGACTCAAAGTTGAAAGATCCTCACTTCAATTCATGAATCTTAATTTACTAAGAACTCAACTCAACGAAAATTTAACTTTCTGAGGCTCTCCCTGTGGCCGTACCAAGGACCTGGTACGCAGTCTGTCGACCGAATTTTTTTTCCAAGTCGAAAGAACATTTCTTGTTCACCGTGACGGCCAAAAATTAGTCTTCACGCACTCAATCGCATATGCGTGAATTCCAAATATATCCAAGCAATTTAAGGCGCGATAAAAAAGACACAGTCAGCTGAACAGAGCAAAATTCACCTTCGCTGACGGGGTCTTGAATCCCCAGAAATTCTACGCATTTTTACCCCTGAAAGTGCCATTAGGGGCACCCAACGGCTGTTTTCTGTAAAACATCTGTTCCGAG